GCTCAATAAAAGGAATTTTTACATTTATCTGTAAATTTTCATTATTTGTGTTCTGCCCCTTATTATCGTCCCTTACATTACCACTCACAAATTTTGCAGGAGCAATAAATGGTATTATGTAATATATTCTATAATAATTTGTAAGAAATACTCTTTATAGACAGTTAACGGATGCAAACAGCAAGTGACAATGGCAAAATTATACAAAACATAGATTACATCATTTACGCCACGCCTCGCGGCCGGCATACAATGTCGCATCGTTATTCAAGATTATCTAGTAAATCTTAGGAGTAATAAAAAAAATATTACCTTATAAATTATAGTTTGCGCTTTTAAGCAAATTCAAAAAGGAATTTTTCATTTCGTCTATATATATTTTTATATGTATTTATTTAATTGTACTTTTTCACTAAATGTGTCTAAAATATGCTTGATGTCATTCTCTACCAGTTAGCCGTTACGCTAAACAGAAAGAGTACTTAAATGGCGGTGCATTAATTTAACAAAACAATTTGTAAATTAAATAAATATTTTACAAGATTAATACATTTTAAAGATAAATGAACATACAAACATATAGAATGTTAACCAAGGGACTTTTTGAAGGAACATTTGGTTAAGTATATATGTATATATATGTTAAGTATATATATATATATATATATATTATATCTTCGTTAAATCAGAATTCATCTCGATATTTCTTTTTACAATTGATAACATTATTGTTATCCATTTATCGTTTCGGATTTACTCCCGTCTTGGTCTGATGATAATTTTATGACAATTACTTGTAATATTTATGTATTGTTTATGAAAAATCTTAAGTTTTTTTTATTTCTTTTCTTACAATTACAAACGACTAAACATGATTATGTAGGAAAATTTTCTTTTAAAATCCGCACATGGGATTTAGTGTGAAGGTTTATGTCTGTCAATCAGGCGTCATGCCCAGTTATACACTTTGTACAATGATAAATAACCAGACTCACTTTTCATACATCTTCATACAAAATAGGCTAATTTAGGTAAACACGAGTTAATTATCTATCAACAAAGGCTTGTAGCGTGTCGAGAGCTGAGTACAGTGTAATGCAATATGCACGTTCATAGTCATAACAACAATACAAACAAGTTGGTAGCTATTTCTCAATTTTCAATACACTCAACGCTTACCTTCTCAATGACAAAAGATACAATTACCATAGACAAGTAGTTCTTTAGGTCAAGTATTGCCGTATTTATGTTATGTAGTATTTTACTTCATATGCGAAACATTACCAATCATGTGTAATGTTGTTTGTGGGGTTCCGTAAGACAACGTGTAAACAGAACTTTTTTTATAGAAGGCTCTATCTTTCAATATGGCCGCGATTATTTTTCAATAATAGTATATTTCAGTAACAGTTTTTATAGTATCAAATATTTTTTCTTAATGTTTGTTCCTATATTTGGAAAATATTGTCTTGGTAATCCATTTATGGACTCCCGCGATACAGGTTCGCCTATTGCGGAGTACTCATTTTGTATAGTCCTAGTGTTTAATAAATAAAAAAAAAACATCGTTATCATAATTTTCACTTTTCTTTGAGTTTGTAGACAAAAAATCAGAAATCTGATTCATATGAAAACTATACCTGTTAGAAAAATAAAACTTAACTCCACGGGTTTGTGGTTTCCAAAGTGTACAGCTGTATAGGTGTTAATTTTTGAATAACACGGCGCAACCTACAAATTTCCGAAATCTTTTGTAATAGTAGATACTTGAGTTACAGTGCGGATTTGTCATCAACGAAACTAAGTACCTGAGTATTTACCTACTGACAGTCTACGATGTAACAGTGGATTCTGTTTGCGGTGAAAGAGGCCAAAAGTAATCAGCGATAATTTATTCAAGGTCTCCCAATATTAGTATGGCGAAAATGTTTCATCAGATATTTCAAACTGTACACAATAAGGCTATTTAGAAAAGTATAAGTCTGTAAAATAGACGTTAGGGCTTGCTTGTTTTACTAATATTTATGTAGTTGGTACAAAGTTAGCAATAAACACTTTTGGATGTGAACCAGGACAGTTTAAGTGCTTACAATAGATAGACTTATATAAGGGCACTGACTTAGCTAGAGCTTTTCCCAAGGAGGCAGCTAACTACTGTATCAAACACTTCGAAGTTCCAATGTCACAAAATGTAACTTATTTTATTTATTGGCAAATTTTTTTAGAGGCTAAATATATTATTTGGATGGAGACTTAGTTCCCAAACTTATCTCTTAGCTTTACTTAGGTATTATTTACGTAGCCTTCTACAAGGTCCCTCAGGAGGAGGTGAACTTACGAGTAAGTAATCTCGTTATTGATATTATTTGTCGATCAATTCCTACAGAGATGTCAGATTTCGTAAACAAGGTTAATTACAACAAGAGACAAGCTTTTAGTATGTATTATATAGAATACGGGAGTTTTTTGTTATTGTTACATAATAAATCGATAGACTACGTTGGAGGATTATAACTAAAAAACTTTTATGTATCAACCACAGGGATTAAATATTTTAGTTGTCTTCTTTAACAGATTTCAAAAAGAAGGTAGTTTTCAATTTTGTTTGTACTTTTTTATGTTTGTTACCTCATAGATAGATAATCTTTATTGTTTCCTCCATAATATTACAATAGTAAACTTATTATAAATACAAACAATTACAAGAAGAAAAAAATACACTGAAAAACAATGGGCGGCCTTATCGCTAAGAGCGATCTCTTCCAGGCAACCTTTGGATGGAGGCTTCATAACTCCGTCAGTTATAAACCTATTTGGAAAATTCTTTTTTATTTGAAAATTTGATATACTTACGGATTTTTTATCAAAATCGATTCAATAGTTTTTAAATCAAAATAACTGGTTTTACCACAAATAAAGATTTTTTGCTGAATTAATCTTGAATTATGACACTTTTTTTTTTTTGTTATTTAACCGGTTAAAGGACTTTTTTTTTAGTTTAGTATTTCAATTTATATTATATATATAACGCAGTGTAAGACGACCCCCACTAGATGGAGTGACAACCTGAAATGTATTGCAGGGAGTCAGTGGATGCAGCTAATTCAGGATCGTTATGGCAGTCTATGGGAGAGGCTTATGTCCAGCAGTAGACGGATAGGGGATGAGGGTGTCGAAAAAAATATGATTTATAGGTTGAACTGGCAAGAGAAGGTTATGTTGCATTTTCCAAATTTTCGATACACTTTTCATAAACATTTCCAAAACATACAAAATCATATGCTCATGTTATATGCAAAATGAAGTTACACTGAAACAGTTCAGTGCAGTAAAATCGTGGAATAGAGATCACGTTCGTGGTTTTCCTTATATTTAAGAATATTCTCGAAAGAAAACTGCGATCTTGAAAGGACTGCAGCTGCGGTGGATGGCATTAATATTCTAGATGACAATGTACTAGATCTATATTAGAGCTATGCTAATTCTGCCCTAACCATAAAAGAATAAATGTGCCATTTATCTTTATTGATGGTTATATGGTTTAGTATATTTTAGTGCTGTCAGATTGTACTAAAAAGGAAGTTCTCATTTCGATCAATCTTTTCGCGTTTTATCTTTTCCAGATGTGAGCAAATTTTTAAATAATTTCAAATAGGGGAAGGTTTTCAATTCGCTTGTATTTTTAATGAGTATCATGATATATATACAGCCTTTAACTGTCCATTGCTGGACATAGTATCTCCCTTAAGGGGTTTTGCCAGTAGTTGCCATGCTTGGCTTTGGAAATGTTATAAGAGGGACGCTGCTGCCCATCGCTCGCCCTTATTTAGTTAGATTTTACGAAACCCATGGGAAAGGAAGGGGTGTTCTGTTCTATGCTGGACCACACGGCCAATGTGATTAATGGTCATGTGAGTATATTATGTAATTTCTGCGTTAAGTTTGTTATTTGTATGCCAATTCAAGCTAGCTATGACCGAAGTTGTAACAGAAGTATTGTCGGTCGAAGATTACAAGAGGGCCAGTTTGCATGTAATTTTGATATGAAAGATGAGATTTGATTGTAATATTATTAGATATATTTTGAGTCAAGAATGTCATGTCACGAAAATCATAAACCTATTTGCATGTCTTCAGTATTGCTAGCGTTCGTGGGGTATGGTGGCCGTTTACCGGCAGATGGACTGTATGCTTGATTGCCTTTGCTGTATTAAAAAAGAAATACAACGCCAGCTGTCGACACGCACCGGTATAAAATGTAAGAGCCATAGAAAGAGTAGGTACTATCCTCAACCTATGGTACTCGTAAAAACAAAGCAATAATAAAGTTGCTCTATGGAACACAATCTGTTCTATCGAACCTAAAGTTTATATGTACGACTGTCATTAGGAATTAAGAACCAAAAAAATCTACTTATATTTATTTAACTGTATTGAGCTAAGTTTCAATATGTAAAAATATATATATATTGAAAATTTATATAACTAGGTTTGCTAACTACTAATAATGAAAATATTATAAAATTATATATTTAATATGAAATTGGCATTACAATTTAAATCAGCGCTGTATAAGAATCTAGATATGAATGATTTTATATTCAATAAAATGCTACGATACTGTTGCTGACTGGGGAGTTAAAATTCTCTATACACGAATCACACAATTTACTTTGCATAACCCGAATTCAATAAATCTCTTGCGTTAAGGATGTAATATACCGGATGGAGTAACATTAACGAACTAGATACATAATTTATATTTACATTGGCGATAAAAGTGAAAATATATAGAAAAAAAAATTCGATTAGATTTACTAACAATCTCCTTTCTTTCCCTTCCTTCATGCGTGTGCCATAGTAACACAATCTCCTTTCTTTCCCTTCCTTCATGAGTGTGCCATAGTAACACAAAATGGTCACAACTCTATCGAGTTTTTAGCCCGAATTATATGAACCATAGATCTGAACCATAGACCCGTACAGACATCTATCCTCACCTGACTGCGACGCGTACACTGGACTCGTCACTAGCCATGACTGCAAGCGACCACCTGTAAAAAAAGAGTTGTAAAGTGAACAATTGTAAACTTACGTAATAAAATAATAGAACTATGACGAAAATAAACGACCTCTTGTTGGAATAAGCATGCTTGTAAGTTACTTATAGGTATCTATATTATTTATAACTAGTTTTAGCTGCCGCGACTTCGTCAGAGATATGTCGATTATGATAGAAGGTAGTGTATATCGTTTTTATTTACGAAAAATTAAACATAATAAATACTGAATGGAAGTTAGTAAATAATCATATTAATCACAATAAAAAAAAAATTGGAATAAAAAAGGTTCAGTTTGGACTACACGGTGAAATCATATAATATATAATACTTAATATATTTAGATTCATTTATGAATTTATGTTACACATTATGTAGCCAAATCATCTAAATGAATATTATAAAGAGGAAAAGTTATATTTTTTGTTTATAATGGACAAATAAAAAAAATTATTCTATCACTTATAGAAAGCTGTATTAAGAATGTGTAAGATGGGCTATATATAATTAAAAAAAAAAAAATTAGACATCCCCAATCTAATAATATAATTATGATGAGTTGGTGTAACTATGTAAATAATATGCCTTCTGTACATAAAATAGCAACTATTTAGTTTCACTGAGATATGTCCTTAGAAATATAATGAATTTATTATTATTAATATTATATTATGTTTAATATGATTTACATTTAAAATAAATATTAAATGATGGCATATTTAAGGGAGAGTTTCATAAACTGTTAATTTCTTTACTAAAGTATCTTATATTTATATTTAACTGTGTCTTTATCACTATGGTATGGATATTTTGTTGCATTATAAAAAAGGTTTTGTGTTCAACTCTCAGCCTAAGTCAATTTAGGAAAAAAATATTTTCTAGTTTTGTGATCACAATCAAACTTTTACATGGTTTTGAGAAGTCGTACACTGATATAATATCTGATGATAAATACATATAGCCATGGATAGCCATGGTAAGGAAGGAGAGGTGGGAGGGGGCATTGAGGGGCAAAGCCCTACCTTAAAATTAAAAGTCCCGAGAAAATAGACAATACACATAGAATAGACAGACTCGCTTTTTATTATGGCTTCTGCACTATCAATAATTTCTTTTTCCCTACCTTAAACTTCAGTTTAGCTACGGCCCTGTAAATGAATATAGGGTACATTTACTCTAATGTATGTGTGCATAGCCCTAGGATACAGTTAGATACTCATATTTATGTAATTATCATCCATACAGTACATATATATTGTTATTTAATAATAATATCACACTGCTTTAATAAAGAATGCAGATAATAAATACCATCTCTTTCCCATAGCATACATGGAAATAGATGGCACACATACCTTAAGGGATATAAAAACTAAACATATGATATATATTTCTACTGTGATGTCACTAGATCTGACCCCTTTAGAAAATTTAGAAAATACCGCATGTAACACTGTTTATAATAATGTCCATAAATATTTTTTATATAAACATGTAGGAACTTTGAATCTAAATTTAGATGGAGTCTAAATAAGCTTTTTGGAACACTAAGGACTAAATAATATACCTATATTTACAAAGTATATACAGTGGATATATCTATTTATATCAATGTTTAAGCTTTTCCTTTTTATTCACATTTTTGTCAATATGTATATTGTTTTTCTGGTTATTACTTGTAAATCTATATTGTAGGACTAAGTTATGTATGTTTAACATTTTAAGTATTGTTATTACTATGCTTAATATTGTTTATTACAAAAATATTCTAAATGTTTTGAATATGATCCTAATAAGTATTTTATTAAAAACATATTTTTCTCCTTGACTTGTAAAGAGCCTAGATTATAAATAAAGATCTCCAGTATCTATAAGTAGAAAAATAATATTAATTAGGTCAATAATACATACATAACATCAAAAAGTAGAAGACTTAATTCTAAAGGTACTTATAATCTTAAATACTTGGCACAGTTAGTAAACAATTGATAATGATTATTACTTATTACAATATGTAATTAACATTTTTGTAGACACAACACTGAATAAAATAAACAAAAATAAAAAGTTTTTGTATTAACTGATTATATTTTATGACTTATTATCGGTTGGTTTTATTTTCAAATTAATAAATTCAATAAAAAATATATGTTAAGATGTTTATTAATTATGCAAAATATAGAAAATAGATTATAGAAGGAAGTAAGAGTCTACTAAATTAGGCATTGCAGTTTAATTATAAGAAATGACCACTAATACTTTTTTTAGTATCTAGAATAAAATTAACGGAAAATTCACTTCTAGAGATATCTACGATATTCAATCTAGTCTATTACAGCTGATAGTACGACCATACTGTTATCAAACAACTCGTACTCACCACACTGAACTTTAAAACACTCGATTCCCCGTTCACTAGATCACATTTCACAAACAAGTTAATCTAAACATTGCGCTAGATCGACAGAGACCAAATTTCTTGTACATCTTTCACCATAACAATGCAATTAAACTATCGCGATATGCCGTATTGCGTATCCTCCAATTACTTTTCACTACAGTTTCTATTTTACACTGCTAAGATATTCAGTGAACAATTTAATTTAATATTAGCAATTAAAAAAGCCGTCCACCATTCACAATAGTCGGCTTACAAAAAATAACAAGCGATATCAATGATAAATCGAGAAAGAGGACGACGACCACTGCAGAACCGAAATCAAAAATCAAATCCGACCAGCCGTCATCCGTCACATCAAACGTCAAACTGACAACATAATTACTTAACTAAACTGACTGGTGTAGGAATTAAATGAACTGTCGTACTGACATTCAATGATACCATTATTAAACCAAAAATCTGCTATTAAATATTACTGCGGCACTTCGACGCTTGTAAATTGTATTCATGTGAGTTTCCTAAATTTTGTGAATTTGCGATACTCGCCTAATGTAATTACTTAAGAAAAACTAAAAATTGTGAAAGCGGTCTCAGTACTAAATCTCACGTTATTAAGGTTAGATTTTTTTCAATATAAGTAAAGAACTACAGACTATCTTACACGCCTTCCATTTTTCTATCATTTTTGCAACTTCGTTATGTTTTGAAATATTATCAGTATTGCACTTAATAGTTAATAAATAGAACAATTAAATAAGATTAGCCAATCAATCGATAAACATAATTGTATTTTTATATAAATATTTTAAAGCAGACTTCACGAGCTGTGGTACCAGTATTCTTATATACCAGCAGTAAAATAAAAGAATGAGGAAACGATTGATCAATTTAATTTTTTTAAATTTATTTTTATGAGTGATAATGCAATGGTTACTTTGTCTAGGCCATCGATATATGCTGGTAGAGAGTATCAGTAAGCCAATAATTTCATCACGATAGGTCAAGTGAAATCACTTATTTTTTTAGAAATAAATCGCAACTATATCCAAAAGGAACTGCGTGGAAAGCATATTGTCAGACATATTGTTAGTAATGTGGACATTTGTTCCAATTCTTTTCCTATTGTACTAAGATATAACTGAGAAACAATAATCGAAACTTATGGAGTAAAAAAAGAAGAAATGGTAGTAAAAAATTATATGATTATATTATCATGATTTAATTAAAATTACGTTTTCAAAAATGCAAATATAATTCAGTAAGTTATTATAGAATTAGAGGCCTCTATGGACTGATTTCAAATTTAATAGAATGTCATATAAGACTTTTAAACATGATTATGGTTAAATGTATTCATAGATATGCCGTGTGGTCAAAGGAAGGGGTGGCCCATTCTATGTCCCTACACAGAATGGGCCATCCCTTTTTTTCTCGTGGGTATAGTGAGAAGCGACTAAGAGAACATAATGATCGAGGTATAGGCAGCAATGTCCTTCTTACAACATCACCAAAGACTATCTTCGGTTGCCAACTCATCTGTTAAGTTTGGTAACTACTAACAAACCCTCCCCGTCCTCTTTATGTGGGAGGCCTATATATTCAGCAGTCAATAGTTAATGGCTGTTATATTTATTTGAATGTGTTAGCTTCTGGAACCATTAGTAGCATTTGAAAAAGACTTTTTACATTAATAACTTATTTCTCGAGGAATTTTATTTATTTATAACAAGGATTACAAATTAATACATTTATAAAATAAATATTACATAAAATGGCATTAAATTTGTACTCCAATAACTGCTCTGCATAACGGTTATAAATTTAAAGTAACAAATTGGCAGCCTTAATGTAACATTGCAAGGATTGTTGGAAAATATCAAGGTCCTTCTTATAGACTATTCAATGTCACAATACAGCTATAGACGTAACTACTGGATGCAGCTAGTACATCATAAATTGGGTTTTCAGCAGTAAAGTACTATGCTAAATCTATTATAACTATGAACTTAAAAACTAGTCAAACAAGTTATATTGGAACTTAGTTTCATACAATTAGAATAATATCTAAATATTAACGAATGAATAATATACAACTTTATACGACATGTTTTACTATATAGAGAGATTACCTAGCAAAATTACATTATCTTTTAAATATATTGTATACTGGACTAGATAAATCACATTATTAATGTTATCATCTTGACAGCTAATTTATATTTTAGTAGTATTTTTTACTTTATGGCAACATAGAATTCGATACTAGCGCCGTATGACATGAATAGTGTTTATTTTAAAAGTACAAGTTAAATGTAATAGATGCCGTTTTATTTACCAGATGAATTTATGGTTAGTGAACACAGATGGCGCTATAATGTAAATAAAATAATACTATTTGTCGTCACTTTAAATTCACTTTTTTAAAAAAATATATTTTATAGGGACGATATTTTTTATTTTAAATTAAAATTTTTAACTAATACTTGTCTATACTTATTTTCATTTCAAGATTATTATTTATAGAAAAAAGAGACGAGTGTGTGTATTTTAATTTATAATATTCGTCACCACAGACATGAATATTAATAAAATATTTTATAAAATAAATCTTATCTACCTATTTACCGTTACATCCTTACTTTTATTTTGTATTTAGAACATAAATTAAGGCCGTTAAATTGAATAATGGGGATATCTGAAAGCCATGATGCTAATAACATTATTTTGCAAAACTATGCAGTATCCTTAGCCAGTCTTCGATGTAGGGTACAATTGGGTACCATCTTAGATTACAGGTACAATATCAACTTCAGAACGTCTTTCCGACAACTAAAATGTATATATTACTTCAGACTGACTTCTAAGATTGACTTATAAATTTGTATTTTGGCTATTATTAAATATATCATTTTTATATTTTATTACAACACTACTGTCGGGTTCTTTTTTTTCTAATCGGATTAAACACCTTCGCTTACATTGTTTTTGACTATTATTATTACTGTATGTTTTTATACAATAAAGAATATTAATTAATTAATAAAACTATCTCTCAAGTTAGAGTAAATAATGCACATTTACAATATTTCATTATCTAACATTGATAAAGCGGTTTCAGAGTATAGTGTGAAGAGACATAGAATGACGGGATTCATTAATCAATGGTAAATATAATCAGTTATTTTTAAGTTTAAAAATTTGTTGTTCAAAAAAAAAAAAGAAATTCAACTATGACAATTTTTTTAATTATCAACAGTAATTTTTTTTTATTCCAACGCACTTATTTAAATATACTGCAAGCTTGTGTTCTAAAATAAAAATCGACTACAGTTGTGACAAAACCAGTTATTTTGATGGAAAAGTTAAACTTCTATGGGATCAGCTGTAACTATAAATATATCCTTTGAGATAAAAGAAGAATTTTCCAAATCGGTTTGGAACTGATGGAGTTATGAGGTAACAAACAGTCAGTTGAAATAATAACTATACCTAAGTAAATTATAAACTATGTAGTCATGTATCCCACAGTAAATCCTAGGCACCTTTTTTGCTTACGAAATCAAGACGGTGAGTCATCCATCTCAGATCGTTTGATTACTATACAAACTCAAATTATAGTTAGCACACAAAAACGAGGTATAATTTTTTGTCCAGTCGCTTTTTTCGCCATAAACCAAAGCTGGATTTTAATAACATAATTACAACAAGAGTTCATTCATATATCGCCAACAAGTAGATACACGTGTAGAAAAATTGACAATTGTCTTACATAATTACCTGAGATGACTACGCATGACAGTTTTCAGTTTACATCCGACAAAGAGATTTTGTACAAAAGTTGCCCGCTTGGGTACTTTTGTCCCATTCGTGTTTCTGCAGTGAAGCAGTTATGTTTACATGGTGGTTTGAAGGGTATGATATGGTAATGAAATTACAGGGTACAGAGTCATAACAACTTAGTTCTGAGTGGCAATACATGAAAGGTATCACGGGCGACACAGTATACTCTGTTATAACCATGGTAATATTATATTAGTATGTCTATAGGCGACGGTTAACGCTTTCTATCAGGTGGACCGTCAACTTGTTTGCCATTTTAAGTTGCATAAGAAAAAAAAAACAATTTTTTTAATAAATACCTTTACAGGGCAAGACTTTGTACAAATTTTGTTCATTTTATTTATTAAATAATTAAATATATGTAGATACGTGAAGATACATTGTGTCTATAAGTATATAGAAAATAATAAAAAAAAAAGCGAGTCAGCCAATTTGACAATTAGCTGACAAAATGTTGAACAATTTTTTTGGGACTCGATATTCTATCTATAGGATTTAAGTTAAATACATATATAGAATTACTTGTTATCCGCTTTAATGACTAACTCTCAGCTTGCCGTGTGGTCCCGGCATAGAATTATAGGGCAAGAGGAGTGACGACCTCAAATGCATTGCAGGGAGTCAGTGGATGCAGGTGGCTCAGGACCGTTCCTTATGATGTAAAGTTTTATACACACATACTGAAAAGGGATTGATTGAATGGTAGAATGGTTACGTGGACGAAGTGGCGAGTAAAAGATAGTTATGAATAATTATTTACAACGTTAAAGACTCAGACTGTATCCCACCTACCCACTCATACGGGTGTGGCTAACTGGTAGAGACGGCATAGAGAGATCAAACATAATTACAGTTTAATTTATTAATGCACTCAATTAAGTTTCAATAAATTTTTAATTTATTATACAACTTCGCCACGGAGACGGTAAAATAAAATTACCTTTCATTAAACTGTACAAATATTTATTTAATCATAAATAGAAAGAAATTTAAAAAGTACTTTTCTCAGTTTCTCAGTGTTTTTTGTTTTGTTTTTCGTGTGCCAATTTATATGATAATTTTTTTTTTTAAGGGAATAGATTAGAACTTTAATATTCGCTTTTTAGTTTCTTGACAAATTTTATATAGAAATTTTGTCTTTAAATTTAAATTGAAAGCTATGTATTTTATTGAAAAAGTCTCAAATTATTTTTTATCGAATCATTTTTATAGTGTGTAGTCGTAAATCATTAATTCTTCACCTTACCAGTTGATTGCATTCGTAACGGTATTCGGCAATGATTCACAGTCGTTTGACTTTTTCTGCGTCCGGAGCTATAACATTATAATTTTATTCCTGCCACATTTCTGGCCTCGAGCAATTTTTGCAGTAATTCCTTTATTGCGCAGCGCGTTACCTTTCATATATACATATACATACAGGGAATTACAGCATTTGCTGACCAATATTTACATAACTATGCAATGATTATTTGCTTGTTTTTTTTATGAAACTTAGAATGGTAAACAAGCTGACGGCCCACCTGATGG